ACAAAAAAAGGAGACTGAAATAACTCCTTCGGTTTCTAGTGAGACCATTTCACGAACTCTTTCCTACCAAATTTTCCTTCTAAATGAAAGTAATGTCACAATATATCACAAATTAATTCTTCGAAAACCACTTTTTCTTCAAACAAACTCTATCCGTGCTTCACATTTCTTTTTCCAGTGAGCCCCACTTCAACCGCTTTGCTCTCTGGGCTCGGATAAACGCAGCCTTTTCGATTCTCTCACAAACCGGGCAACCGAATCTCGATAGGTCTAGCCGTAGGCCCTCTACATACTCACACGCTTATCCCAATCATGTTGGGTCCCGTGACGGCCTGAAGTCATGGTATCCACTCGGTGCAGACGAGTCGAGAGCCGGGCGACTTTCGGCGACCCATGACGAAATCGGTCGGCATGCAAGCATGTGGGAGAGTTCAGTCCGAGGAGCGAAGTGAAGTTGGTCACGGTGGATCGCAATGATGACGTCGATCTCGCGACGTGGAGCACCAATCCATGAGCAAGCACCTTCGTGGTGGGTACCTCTACGACCTCTGCCATCGAAGCAGCGGTCAGGAAGAGTGGACACAAGTCAGCAGATTGGTCAGTCGCCACTCCTCTTTGACTCGCATATTCCCATTTCCTACCATCTCCTTACACACTAGCAGATGAGCTGGTGCACCTCATCACCTTTGCTACACCTCGCTAGTCCGAGTTGACATTCTTTGCTCGCATGCATCCTCCTGTCTCATCATCACTTGTGGGGCAGCCTAACCTATCGACTCCTCAACTTTTCTGTAAATTATTTTAAGGCGATCACGAAGCAGTGTTGCACGATGGAAAGATTCTTTCGTTGATTGTTTTTAGCCGAAAAACGATGGCCGATTTCTTTTGTTCTGAAACTGTTTGGATTTAATACGAATTTCAGGTTAACGCAGTCCATGAGACATCCGCCCTCGTTCCGGGTGAAACAGGCGAAGCCTTCGTGCATCATATGATCGACATAATCAGGGCTGGAACTCATTCTTATCAAAGTTTTAACTTAAAATATCCTGTTCTATCTTACATTTAATACATACTCATAACAAAAATTAT